ACACACACTTTGCCCAGTTTATCTAATGTTACTTGTATGCACCTTTTCAGGGCTGATCATTTGGCATTAGATAACCAGTCTGTGGTATGTTTTCACAGCATCAGTCTGTTTGTTTTGTTTGTTTTTAGACAAGGGTTTTCCTGTGCAGCCCTGGCTGTCCTGGAACTCACTCTGTGGACCAGGCTGACCTTGAACTCACAGATTTCCACTTGCCTCTGCCTCTTGAGTGCTGGGATTAAAGGTGTGCATCATTACCATCTGGCACACAGCATCAGTTTTTAATCTTAAATTACTGAAGTAAAATGCTTGCTCTTGGCCTGCACACTGTCATTACCTAGAGATGCTGCCTGAAGCACAGAGACTCTAATGTATACTTCTGTCACAGAAGGGTAAACAAATAATGATCCATCCAAATGATGGTATTTGACATGTAGTGAGTGAATAATCACTGAAATACATGAAAGGAAGTGTGCCTTATATTCAATTGAATGAATACTAATTATATTTGCTTCTATACATAGAAAAGAATCTAGAATCAGTCTGGATTCCTTATAAGAAGGCAAACAGCGCATATTGCTGGGCTAGAGTGCATGCCTTCTGAGCTGGTGGAGACATTCCTGTCCCCCTCCCCCCCCCACACCCCCTCCAGAGGCTCTGCTCTGCTCTCAGCTCTCCCTTTCGAGGCTGGCGGAGCACCCACCTGGTTCCGCTGACGGCCCATCAGCAGCACGCAGAGGACGTACAGCACTTCCAGTTTGTACATAATCTCATGCATAATCTTCATTGACTGGGGCAGCTGGGTCCTGGCTGAGGTATGTGGCAGCCCGCTCTCCTCCGAAGTGGCTAGAGAGGGGAACACAGTGGGGGCTGCTGTAGCCCCCATATGGTGGGTGAGGCATGGCTCCTGAGGAAACTCACTCTCCTCAGAAGTCTGCTGTGAAGAGAGAGCCATCAGACCTAACTCAAGCTCTCACTAGACACTTTAAAACCCAGGAAACCTCCTGCCGCCCTCAAGAGCAAGGCCAGCTTAGAACCTAGAAGGATCTGCAGCTCCATACCTTTCCACATTAAGTAAAACGTTCTGCCTCAGGCAACAGTCACCTCTCCCTTGTATCTCTGTCACCAGACAGACAGATGTCTGACAGCAAATCGTGGAGAACACTCTCCAGGTCTATACACTGCCAACAGCATGCGGGATTCTTTTACAATACTTCCCTTTAGGTAATCGCTCTCATTCACTTTATCCCCACTGAACAAGAGTCTAGGTCTGGGTTCTTAAGAAGAGCTCTGCAAACCACAGCACTGCAGGAAGATGACAAGCAGCAGCCTGGCACAGTGGGCAATACCACAGACACTGAGCCAGACTGCCGGGTTGAGCCACACGCCCTGGCTGTGTGGTGCTGGGGATGCAGGGTGGCTGCTTTCTGTGTACTGCTCACCCTCCCTTCTGAGTCAGTGGACACGTCAGCAGTACCATTGGCTAAGGTTACAACAATGGAAACAAAGAACTTATGGAAGGTGCTTAAAACAAGGCCTGGCACAAGTAAGCACAGTGTTAAAGAATGTAAAAACTCCAATTCTTCTGCTAATGCTTGCTTGCTATAGTTTAGAAATTTAAAAAGTTAACTAATACACAAAAAACTATACCTATTAATGGGGGTTTTGATAGACACATACATATATACTGCTTAATAACTTAAGTTAAATGGTATTTTTTTTAACACCTAAAATTCTTTAAGTTTTTAAAAATAGACAGTAATATAGTTTCTACAGTCACAGGGCAATAGCCCACTGGAACTTTTCATTTTTATTTCTTTATTTGAGCCAAGTCTCACTCTGTAGGCCTAGCTAGTCTGGAATCTGCTACGTAGACCAGGATAGCCTTGAATGCAGACATCCACCTGCCACTGCCTTCCACATGCTGGGACTCAACCTGGCACACAGCTTTAGTCATACTCAGCAGACTAGTATTCCTCATTCCCATCTAACTGTATGTTTTTTGTTTTGGTTTTATTTTTTTCAGTTTATATTCTTCTTGGTGACTTAAGTGGCAGTAGGCAAAGTTTAAGGAAAATTGTGCCATTAAAAAAAAAAGGCCGCTGGGCTGGAGAGATGGCTCAGCGGTTAAGAGCACTGACTGCTCTTCCAGAGGTCCTGAGTTCAAATCCCAGCAACCACATGGTGGCTCACAACCATCCGTAATGGGATTGGATGCCCTCTTCTGGTGTGTCTGAACACAGCTACAGTGTACTAATCAATAAAATAAATAAATAAATATTTAAAAAAAAAAAAAAAAAAGGCCGAGCCAGGTGGTGGTGGCGCACGCCTTTAATCCCAGCACTTGGGAGGCAGAGGCAGGCGGATTTCTGAGTTCGAGGCCAGCCTGGTCTACAGAGTGAGTTCCAGGACAGCCAGGGCTATACAGATGAAACCCTGTCTCGAAAAACCAAAAAAAAAACCAAACCAAAAAAAAAAAAAGGCCGAGTGATATTTTGACTTCTTCCTTTCCTATTTGTATCCCTTTGACTTCTTTTCGTTGTCTAATTGCTCTGGCTAGGACTTCCAGTACTATACTGAATAGGTAGGGAGAGAGTGGGCAGCCTTGTCTAGTCCCTGATTTTAGTGGGATTGCTTCAAGTTTCTCTCCATTTTTAGTTTGATGCTGGCTACTGGCTTGCTGTATATTGCTTTTACTATATTTAGGTATGGGCCTTGAATTCCTGCTCTTTCCAAGACTTTAATCATGAAGGGATGTTAAATTTTGTCAAATGCTTGCTCAGCATCTAGTGAGACGATCATGTGTTTTTTTCCTTTGAGTTTGTTTATATAGTGGATTACATTGATGGATTTCCGAATATTGAACCATCCCTGCATTCCTGGGATAAAACCTACTTGATCATGATGGATGATTGTTTTGATGTGTTCTTGGATTTGGTTTGCTAGAATTTTATTGAGTATTTTTGCATCGATGTTCATAAGGGAGATTGGTCTGAAGTTCTCTTTCTTTGTTGGGTGTTTGTGAGGTTAGGTATGAGTGTGATTATAGCTTCACAGAACAAATGGGTAGTGTTCCTTCTGTTTCTATTTTGTGGAATAGTTTGAAGAGAATTGGTATTAGGTCTTCCTTGAAGGTCTGATAGAATTCAGCACTAAAACCATCTGGTCCTGGGCTTTTTTTTGGGGGGGGGGGGCTTTTAATGGCTGCTGCTATTCCTTTAGGGGTTATGGGACTGTTTAGATGGTTAATTTGCTCCTGATTTAACTTTGGAACCAAGACTCAACTCACAGACCACATGAAACTCATGAAGAAGGAAGACCAAGTGTGGGTGCTTCCGTCTTTATTAGAAGAAGTAACAAAATACTCAAAGGAGAAAATATGGAGACAAAGTGTGGAATAGAAACTGAAGGAGGGGCTGTCTGGAGACCATTCCACCTGGGTATCCATCCCATGTGTAGTCACCAAAGGTAGACGTTGATGTAGATGTCAGGAAGCGCATGCGACAGGAGCCTGATATAGCTGTGTCCTTAGAGGTCTGCCAGAGTCTGACATATTCAGAGGAGGATGCTCACAGCTAACCATTGAACTGATCATGGGGTTCCCAAGGGAGGAGTTAGAGAGAAGACTGAAGGAGCTGAAAGAATTAGTGGCCCCATGAGGAAAGCAACAATACCAACCAACCAGAGCTCCCAGGGTCTAAATCACCAGCCTGGGAGTACATAGGGAGGGACCTATGGCTCCAGCTGTATATGTAGGGAGGATGGCCCTGTTGGGCATAGGTGGGAGAGGAGATCCTTGGTCCTATGAAGGCTGGACATCGAGTGTGGAAGAATTCGAGGGTGGGGAGGTGGGTGGGTAGGGGCACATCCTCATAGAAGCAGGAGGAAGGGGGATGGGATAAGGGGTTCCTGGGGTGGGGTAAGGGGATAACATTTGAAATGTAAATAAAATATCCAATAAAAAAATAATTTTAAAAAAGCCCGAGAAAATGCTATCCATTTAATATTTGCTTCTACACATAGGAGGAAAACCCAGTATCACGCCATCCCCATGGGGACATCCTAACCAGTGCCTACAACAGCGAAAGAGCTGTAGTGGTCTGAGGTGAGCAGCACAGACCTGGCCACACACTTGAGCCTTGAGCACTATTGTTCTGCAGGACTCTGGGAAGGCACTTTGGGATGGGGGAAGGTACAGAGCAGTGCACACAATGCTGAAAGCAATGAGAGGGGAGGGAAAGGACACAGGCAGCTCCCGTAAACACAGAAAAGGTATGGGGGACAGGAAGTGAGTATGAAATGTTACTTCATACTTTTGATTTGTAATTCTTTAACAGCTGAAGCTGCTGAGCAGTGTTCCTGTGTGTGTGGCCATTGTTTCCTGTTTGGAGAAGTATCTATTTAGATACCTGTCTATGTTCTGAAATTAGTTTTATTATTCATCTGTGAGTGTTCTTTGTATGCTTTGTTATTTAATTCATGTGCATGTTCATGTCTGTGTGAGTATATGTGGGTCCCCATGGAAGCCAGAAGAGGGCTCTGGATCCCTGGGTATCAAATTCAGGTCCTCTAAAAGAATAAGAAGTAGCGTTCTTAACTGCTGAACTATTTCTTCAGCCCTCCCATGGTCTTTTTTTTTTTTTTTCATTTAATTCATCATCTCTTTTTGTCAGTACATGGCATTGAACACAGGGTACTCACACATGCTAAGCAAATCACACCCCTAGGCTTCTTTATTCTATATTCAAGTTCCTTATTGTATACATGGCTTGCAAAACTGTTCTGTGGGTCAGTCCTTTAGTTTCTTGGTGACATTTTTAAGACTTTTATAAACTCTAATCTATCTATGACTAATCTGTTCACTGTGTTTCAGAAGCCATGTCTGTGAAGCCACCTGAAATGTGGTCAGCCAGACTTCCCCTTCCATCTCTATGCACTTCCTATGCTTCCCAAAGGCACCTGCAGACCTGTCTGGAGCCCAACACTGAGATCAGAGACATGAGAACTGTTTCCAGGTCTGTTAGGGCAACCTGTAAGGGTAGCAGGCTACACATACTCACAAAGAGGCCGCTGTGTACAGCCCGTACCTCCAGACCCCCATGACTGGATGAGCCTGGTCTGCTTAATTGGCTGCAGAAGGTGATTATTTTTTCTTTTTAAAAAATTTTTATATCTATATTTGTAAGGTATTAGTCTGTAATTTTCTTTTCTTGTGATCTATTCATCTGGTTTTGGTATAAAGGTAAACCCTGTCTCAAAGAATGAGTTGAGAGGTGTTTGCTTTATGGAAGGCTTACAAAGTATCAGTGTGATTTTCCTTAAATGTTTGGTAGAAATCACCAGTAAAGCCATGTGGCATAGGGTTATTTTGAGGGTCTTTTGCATCCATATTCAATCTCTTTATTATATAATTCAGATTTCTTTATTTCTTCTTTTTAAGAAGCAAAGGGGAACTTATTAAGGTTTTAATAGTGTTCCATGTAGGACTGCATTAAAGAAAAGTCTACTGTAAGTAACTCTTAATTTTCTACAGAAAGGAGACAATATCATCTCTAAGGGGGCCTGGAAAAAACTTATCACTCAGGGGACCCATAGAAAGTACCTTGATTGTGTTCAGACTCTTCATTGGCCACTCGCATCAGGGCATCTAGCACCAGCGCATTGTCTAGCCATGTGTACCACTCCTCCAATTCCTGAAGGAAGCTGGCTGTGCCCGTTGACTCTGACACTTTTCTAGTTGCCAGTTTGCAAAGCCGTTCCACGAAGCCAGGAATGCTGAGAAGAGCAGCTGCAAAGAGAGAGAGAGAGAGAGAAGGACTGTACAAAACAGCTCTACAACCCTGAACCATGAGAGGGATGGTCCCTTTTTTCCTTTTGTTGTGGTTTTCTGCTGTTGAGACAGGGTCTCTGAGGCCTAGACTGGCCTTGAATTTCTGATCCTCTGGCTTCTACCTCCCAAATGCTAGGAATACAGATATATGCTGCCACATCCAGCTAGGAAAGACTCTGCCGTGATGGCAACTAGATCTAGCTCAGAGGTTTAAAAAGTTTGCTCTTTTAGAAGACCTGGGTTCAATTCCCAGCACCACATAGTAGTCCTCAACTATCTGTAATCCAGTTCCAGGGGATATGACACCATCTTCTGGCCTCCTTGGGCACCAGACACCCATGTGGTACACAAACATGTATGTAGGCAAACACCCATATATATAAAATAATAAAAAATAAATAAGTAACCAGGCATGGTAGTACATGCATTTAATCCTAGCACTCTGGAGGTAGAAGCAGGCAGATCTCAATGAGTTCAAGGCAAGCCCGATCTATAGAGTGAGTTCCAGGAGAGCCAGGGCTACATGGTGAAACCGTATTGAAAAACCAAAACCAAATAGTAAATAAATAAACAAACACCAAGCCAAAATAAAATAGCAACTTCAGAAATAAGTTCAATTTTCAGATGTACAGGGAACCTGACTCTAAGTGCGCGCGCGCGTGTGTGTGTGTGTGTGTGTGTGTGTATGTATGTATGTATATGTGTGTATGTGTGTGTGTATATATATATATGTACATATATAACTCAAAATAACTTTATACTTTTAATGTATATTTAAGTTAAAGACTCATTTTTTGGTACATTTTTCGTTAAGATGATAGCCATTCATATAAACAAAAATATCTGTATTAAAAGAATGGAGAGAGCTCAGTTAGTAAAGTGTTTGCTGCACATGCATGAGAATCTGAGTTTGATCTTTAACATCCATATAAAAAGCTGGCTCTCTCAGTGCCAGACCAGCCTAACTGGAAAGCCATAGGCCTGTCTTAGCTAGGGCTTCTATTTCTATGATTAAAAAGCACAACTAAAAGCAAATTGGGGGGAGGGGAATGGTTTATTTCATCTTATACTTCCAGGTCAACAGTCCATAACTGACAAAGTCAGGACAGGAACTGAGCAAGGTAGGAACCTGGAGGCCAGAACTGAAGCAAAGACCATGGGAGAGTGCTTGTACTAGCTTGCTCAGCCATCTTTCTTACACTATCCAGGACTTCAGGCCCAGAGGTTGCACCACCCACAGTGTTCTAGGCCCTTCTCTGTCAGTTAGTAATCACAAAGATGCACCCACAGACTTGCCTACAGGCAATATGGCAGAAGCATTTTCTCAATTGAGGCTTCTCTGCCCATGTGACACTTGCTATGTGATGTTTACAAAAAAAACAGACAAGGTTCCAGATGAAAGATTTTGCCTTAAAACTCAAGCCATTGAGGAACAGCAGCTGAGGATGCCATTTGGCAACCAACACACATGAACACACACACACACACACACACACACACATGAACACACACACACACATCTGTATGAAGATAGTCAATGATGTTCTTTTTGTAATGGTACAAATACAGAGATCTGTCTATCAACAGCAAACTGAGCACATATGCTAAATCCATATAGAATGTAACGGACTCTAAAGTGATGACACACATTTTTATATAAGTCCTCAACAAAGTGGTTTAAGGATAAAAATATAAATTGTTAAACAATATTGTTTAAACTCATTTTTCAAAAATTTAAAGAACAGAAGCAGGGCCAGGCATTCCTAGGCTGCATCAGGCCCTGTGCTCAGTCCTCAGTGCCAAAACAGAAAAGAACAGAAACATACCCTGAGGACTTACAGGGGCTACTGTTTTACTTATGAACAAGACAGAATATAAAAAATTCTTGCCGGGTGGTGGTGGCGCACACCTTTAATTCCAGCACTTTGGAGGCAGAGGCAGGCGGATTTCTGAGTTCGAGGCCAGCCTGGTCTACAGAGTAAGTTCCAGGACAGCCAGGGATACACAGAGAAACTCTATCTCAAAAAAACAACCAAAAACAAAATTCTTCAAAAACTGGGTATGGTGGAAAGAGAGATGGCTTGGTGATTAAGAATGTTTGCTATTCTCTGGAGAACCCAAGTTCAATTCCTAGCACCTACATTGAGGGGCCTATAACTCCAGTTCCAGGGAATCTAATACTCTCTCCCAACTTTGGGAGAAACCGCACATTCATGGCATATACAATACATTTAAAAAATAAAATAAATTCTTTATAAAACCAATGAAAACTGGATGTGAGACCCTACTGCTTGAAGACACCACACTTCCAGTGCAGGTCTTGGGGAAAATGAAACTGGAACTGAGATGAAGTCCTCCTTCGTGCTACCTGGAGTGCCAGAAGGGACCAGACGATGCTATTCAAGCTGCTGTGGGCAGAAGCACTGCCACAGAGTCTTACTTGGCTGTGGATCCTGTATGCTACACTACTGACCAACCAAAAGTGCCCATGGGGTATGAGTGCAGGCTACTAGTTGGGGAATCCACTGCTTTCTAACAGGAGTGAAAGCCTGCTCCACAAAGGAACTGACTCTGTTGGGGCTGTAAGCCTGAGTCAGTCACAGACCACAGTGGGAAAGCTACTGCTGTTGTCTTACTGCATGGACGCGATGTGCTATCAGACTGCTGCCGTCAGCTTTCGTCAGAGAAGCTGCCTGTTGTAGCAGGCAGTGGTAACTGCAGGTCGGTAACTAGCGCAGGTGCTGAGAGCAAATGATGCCTGAGTGCAGTATCACCAACTGGCATCCATACCACACTCTTCAAGGCTCGGGAACATAGAAGAGGGGTAGAAAGAAGGGAAGAGTGAGAGGGAGGAGTGGAAGAAATACATTGTTATCTTTGATGCATAACACTGCCACTGTATTCTGTTTACTAGAGGGAGGCCTGCACACGACTGGTCTGCCAACGGTGTGCCATGGTGGGGAGAGAGCTCATGAGGCCATTCTCCCTCAGGACCAACAGGCAGATAGTACCACTGGTAAGAGAACAAACTCTTGCAAATAAACTTCTAGGATCCCACAAAAACAAAACAAACACAACATCCTAATAAAATACAATTTGTCTCACACACACACACACACACACACACACACACACACACACACACACACGGCAAGGGATTCGCCAGAGTGGGAGGAGAACAACAGAACAGTGAAGGATGGCTGTGATAAACACATTCTACACACGTATGAAAATATCATGATTGAGCTGGGCATGGTACTGCACACCTTGAATCCCAGCACTTGGGAGGCAGAAGCAGGTACATCTCTCTGTAAGCTGGAGGGATAGCCTGGTCTACGTATTAAGTTTCAGCCAGCCATGGATACACAAACCAAAACCAAAACCAAAACCCCACTTTAAATACTTATAATGAAATTCATTAATTTTATGTATGTGAGTACACTGTAGCTGTCTTCGGAACAGGGCATGGAATCCCATTACAGACGGTTGTGAGCCACCAAGTGGTTGCTGGGAATTGAACTCAGGACCTCTGGAAGAGCAGTCAGTGCTCTTAACCACTGAGCCATCTCTCCAGCCCTCATTATTTCATATAATTAATATATATTAATATAACTGAAAAACTACTTAGTATGGTAGTATAGGAGGATCCCATATTTGAGGACAGCCTGGGATACACAACAGAAAACTTGCCTCAAAATAAAAGAAAACGTACGATCTTCAGTTTCTAACATTTTTCTAACAACTGTTTACTAGTAGGAAGAAAAAAGATGAACATTTCCTTTAAGGTGAAATACAAATGGAGTAATTACTCAACACCTGTTTCCTCTAGACCCCATTTCACTCAGAAAATAAGACAAATTCTGATCAATACAAGAGAATGTGATCAACTCTGACAGAAAAAAGACAGGGTTCAAAACCTGGATCTATCTTTCAACCTTTAAAATGAGACTAATAACAGCACATGTTGCTTACATAGAAAGCATCAGATCTCCCTGGAATGACAAGAGAAACCAACAGCAGTGGCTGCCACAGTAAACAGTCCCAACCAGACCAATCCAAGCCAAGGGTACTCTCTCTGCTTTCCAGAGAGGACCAGTGTTCAGTTCCCAGGATCCACATGGTGGTTCATAACCATCTGAAAATCCAGTCCCAAACAATGTAGTCTTCTGCAGGCACCAGGCACACATATGGTACATAGAGACACATATAAGGCAAAACACACACACACACATACAATAAAATAAAAATAAAAAATCTCAGCTACTTAAGTGGCTGAATTGGAGGCCAGTCCAGACTCATACTGAAT